GCGCCGCGCGAGGCCGCGATCTCCTTCAAGTTTTTGAGATCCGTTGCCACGGGGGCACACGCCGCCGCCAGCGCCTCTGATGCCGCAGCTGGCCCCGCCTCATTGTCGCCGGAGGGCTCCGAGTTCCAACCCGTGACCTGCGTGGAAAGATGCGCGCGGCTGAGCCTCGAGCTGACCACCGACCACATTACTTGCAAATACACCGACGGCCCATCCTTCCCAGGCGCGGCGAGCAAGACGGCCGCCTCATTCACAAGCGAGCTCATTTTACCAAGGCCCCCCTTGTTGGACTCCTGGAGGGCGCGGAGGCGACCCGCTGCCCTGTCCAACTCGCCGTCGCCCCCCTTCGAAAGGAAGATGGAGCGGGGCAGCGCGTCGCCGCCCTCGGGCCCAGGCTGAAGCCCATTCTGCCGGGCGCCCTGGGGTCGCCAGCTCCAGCGCTCAAACGCCAGTGTCCTCTGGGAGCCCCTTGGCCCTTCCTCGTCCCCCTACTCCTCCTCCTCCTCCTCCTCCTCCTCCTCCTCCTCCTCTCCTCCTCCTCCTCTCCTCCTCCTCCTCCTCCTCCTCCTCCCATCCTCCTCCTCCTCCTCCTCCTCCTCCTCCTCCTCCTCCCCCCCCCCCCCGCCCCCCCCCCCCCCCCCCCCCCCCTCCTGCCCCCCCCCCCGTGCCCCCGCCCCTCTACGGTAGAGGGGCGGGAACGAGGGGTAGGGGCTCTACCCCGGGAAGCCCCCGCCCAATCCCCCATCCCCGCAGGTCGATTTTGATTCGGCGATTTGCGCGGGAGCGGGCCTCCCAGTAGATGTCAATGGCCAGCGCCTTCAGGATGCGACGCAACTTGGGGCCGAGGGTCTCCCTCTCGTGCTTGAGCAGCAGGTTCTGCCGGGCGAGTTCAGAACGAGCTATTTCTTCAAGAGTGGCGGGGTCGCAATCGCCGTCCGTCTGCTGCTCAAGATATGGCGAAGTGTTGGGGTCAGCGCAGCGACCCCGACCGTCTCCACGGGGCCAAACCCACGGTGTTATTTTGAAATCCGGGTTTCGTGATGGGCGTCTCATGGGGCAGTCGAGCCTGCGATCGGCGCAACTGGGGCATGTGCAGCAAACGCCTCTGTAGAGCTTTCGATCCTCGACGATGGCTCTTTAAAGATCGCGCATGACCATATTTTCCCGCGATTTGGTTTGTCCCGCATTTGAACGAATAATATGGCCTGCATCATCTCGCTTGACCAGACGAAGAGAATACTAGTGCCGGGTTTGATGCCCACTCCAATCCATTCCCAACCAGCATTCCATCTGGTTTGCGGGTATGCACTGACGAGCCAATCCAGCTTCAGTGCAGTCTTTCAAACGCTGTATTTCACCTACTGGATCTTCTCCTCCTCGATGTCGGTCATCTCGAAGCGGGTTTCCTTGCAGACGGTCCTTCCTTGGGGGAGTACGTGCTCTTGTCGCATGCCACGGCGGGCCCCATCGCGGCCCCCGCATCAGGCGGACGAGGGCGCTGACCGCCACTCGAACGAGCACCGCTAGAGCGGGCTCGCGCACGATCTGGTGAGCGACTGGGAGCCCGACCGCGACGCATCATGCGGCCGTCGTCTTCCCGCTCGTCCCCCGTCGTCCACTGGGGAGCGATTCGCGTCGCCATGCTAGCTCTTGCTCGTCAAAGGAAGGCGGTTTGGCGATCGCCTCGGGCTGCTGGCGGACCGATCTGACGCAAAAGAAGCATGCTGAAATTCTTAATTATGCCCAAGCTCATATTGAATGCGCTCAGGTAGATCACCAGCGTCGCGCGGGTTCCCCCGCAGTGGGTCATCATCGATTAATTCCGCGTTTGTCGGATTTCCAATCGCCCGGGGATACAGCATTGCATGTATTTCCTCATCTGTTGCAGGAATGGTAGAAACTGAGTCCGCGGGTGCCCCCGCCACGCCAAAATCACCTTCGACGGGGGCGTGGAAGTTCTCGACAAACTCAATATCTGCAGGTTGCCCCGCGATGGGTGCACCCGACCATTCCGCCAAGTCGATATCGCTGTGGCCAGTGAACACCTCCTCGAACAGCTCGTCGGCGTAATTCTCGAGGGCCATGCTGGCACTTAGATACCTGGCAGCCATGAAATGAACAATTGTGGCTGAGCCGTCGGCAGGGTCGGCTAAATGCGACCCCCAATCAACAGACTGCATGTCGGAGTCCGTCTGAGCCAGATGCACTGACGGACCCCTGCCTCTTCCATTACCTTGGGGGCATTCGCGTCGGAAATGTTGTGTGCTGTGACATATGTCGCGCTCCGTGGTTTTACCGCTGGCATCCTTTGGATTTCCTCGTCGCCCCCTACCTTTGCCTGACGTGTGCCTGCGGTTTCTGCCAGTGCCTAAGAACACGTCCTCATACTGAGGTCTAGTAAGGGACGCTAGGAATGCCAGTGTGCCTCTACCGTGCAATCGCCGACGCTCACATGTGCCTTTGCTTCGACCCTTGCCTTTTCCTCTAAGTGACCGCCGTGCGATACGTCTCGCCCTTCGGACTGGTTTCTTCATGGGCCTCCGCCAACGACGCTGGTGTTTTTGACAGCCCAAACATAATCATTGAGCTTGCTGCTCTTCAGTAAGGTATGTAGGCATATCAGAGTGATCTAAGGCGGTAGCTTCATCATCGGAAGACGCATCCGCATCGGCGCCGGAGTCGAACTCGGCGGGTTGCCCCAATGAGCCTATTCGGGTCATAGCTTGCATAGGGGAAGCCTCGTCGGGCGGCCCCCCAGATCTGCCCCAGGGGCCCTGCGACCCCGAAGCCGTTCCACCATTCTGAGCCAACAGTGTAGTGGTTTCAGTTGGCTGTGCATCATCGTTCCAGACGCTGTTGGCAGGTTGCCCTGCGTTGGCCTGTGCGTGGAAGGTCCTGGTTCGGTGACCGTGGCTAAGGATACCACCAATACTGCCAGGGGTCCTCTCAGCTATGTGAGCATATGACCTCATACGTTCAAGTAGAGGGTCAAATTGTGGTTGGTCCCTCGTCATGTGGTGGTTCAGAGGCTGCAGGAGTTGTCGTGCACGCGATGTCCCCACTCCAAGAGCTCTGAATAGGATTGCTGTTAAGATTTGGAAGCTGGGGGCGTTGAAGCCGGCGGTTTCAGCTTCGTAGCCGGCTGTTTCGAACCGTGCTAACGTCTCGTCGATGCGTTCACCCGCATGGACTCGAAAATCAATGAGAGCCGTGCCAGAGTTGAGTTGGCGTTCCTCTTCTAGGTTCTCGAACTTCGTACTTAAGAGGACCATACTGTAGGTGACGCAGTCGGTATGGCGACCGCCTATATGTACGCCAAAATGAATGGCTGCTGGGGGGACCCTCTCATGGCTATAGTCCGTGCGAGACCTCCCAAACCTCGCTGCAATGCGGCGGCTTGCTGGGAGGGCGTTGTGTTGCCTGCGGTCGCATTGATCCAGGCATGTATTTCGCGGACGAACTCGCGAAATTGCACTTGACCGAAGGGGCCCCACTGGGGGCCAGTCGTTATAGTGTCGTCTCCGCCCCGCATATGTCCTACCGCGCACCCAATAGCGACCCACGTGAGCCCAAAGATAATAACCCCAATCCAGTGGCCTCGTAGGTCGTAGTCGGATGTAGTCGGTGGGGCCTTATGCTTTGTCGTCGTAAGTCTGCGTGGGGTCGGAGGCGGCAGTATGTCGTATCGCATGTTGCCATGCATTATGTCTTCGAACAGATTTCCAATTGGAGTAGGTGGGTGGACTTCAGGTGTGTACTAGCGCATGGATGTGAGATGTGAGTAAGAGACCTACGCTTGGACAGAGGTATCGCTGTAAGCTTCCTTGCGGTACTGCGTAGTTATATACATGCTTCCGCGCAGTCCCACTGCACCATGATGTTCCACCATATCCGTAGTCCACCAGATAGTGCCGTGGATGGTGAGGAGTAGAGCAAGAGCTGACCACCATAGGCCAGCCCCGCTACCACGCTTGAAGGGGGCTGGAAGGCCCAGCCAACAGCTTCGCCTCAGGCGAAGCCAAGCTCCCGCTCTGTTGTACCGTAGTAACGATAGTCCCAGTATGAGAGGATATGTCATCTCAAGCAATAGAAAGATCCTTTTGGTCTCGATAGCGGTTGTGTGCCTCGCAGTGATGCGCTGTCAAATTTGGGCGGCCGGCCGCTTGAGCCGACGCGGCCGCGGGCGCACGCTCGCTTCCACTCCTTACGTCCCTCAGCTCGCTTTAGAATCCTCCAGGAAGGCCCGAAGAACCCCAAATCATTGATTTCCCAAAAGGTTTTTTGGGTATATAAAAGAAGGAGAAGAGAGGAAAAAACAAAAAGTTTTGGCATTTGCGCGGTTTGGGCTTTCCGTCGGGCCAAGACGGCCCAAGAGGCCCCCAAGGTCGCCCCGAAGCCTCCAAGATGGCCCGAAGACGGCCCAAGAGGCCCCCAAGAGGCCCCCAAGACGGCTCCACCAAGACGGCCCAAGAGGCCCCCAAGAAGCCCCAGATGGCCTCCAAGACTGCCAAGATGACCTCCAAGATGCCTCCAAGACGGCCAAGATGGCCCCAAGATGCACCCAAGACGGCCCCAAATGGCCTGAAGATGGCTTTCGACTGCCCAAACGGCCCGCCAAAGGCCCCCAAGAAGGCCCAAGACCCCTCCAAGACGTCCTCCAGGAGGCCCGAAAGCTCGGAAACTACATGGTCTGATAGCTTGCCCGACTCGGTGTTCCCCGAAGGTGTTCGAAACCCACTCGGGGAACGCGTGGCCCGATAGGTTGGCCAAGCTCAAACCAAACTTTCGGCCACGCAGGCGCTTCCAACAAGGCAGGGGGCGGCGGTGATTCGCCGTAGGCGTCTTCGATACCAGCGCCGATGTTGAATCGAACCTCCCAGGAATTGGATCCCGAGACAAGGAAACGCGGAAGAAGGGGACAGGAGGGCGGGGGGGTAGGGGCAGCAGGGGAGCGGCGAAAGCCAGACGCGGCACACGCCCCACCCCCCGTCACGGGCAGCCTCGCCGTGGTTGATGAAGTTGCCGACCTCGGGGGGCCTAGCTCCGAGGCAGCGCGTCGCTGACGCCCGCACACGCGGGGCCCGTGAGCGCAAGAAATGGAGATTCTTCGTAGGATAGGAGGCTCCTCATCCTCCTCCTCCTACTCCTCCTCCTCCTCCTCCTCGTCCACCCCCTGCTCCTCCACCACCTCCTCCTCTCCCCCTGATCCTCCACCGCCTCCTCCTACCCCGCTCCGCTTCCTCCCACTCGTCCCTCTACCTTGTCGTGCTACTCCGCCTCTCCCTCCTCCTGCCCCTCGTTCATCCCGTCATCATATCCTCCGTCGTTTCCGCCTCTCCTCCTCCTCTTCCTCCCGCTATCCCTCCTCCTCGCGGATCCTTGAAATGACTGATGAAACCGAAAGCTCAGTGTGCAGAACCCTTACCTCTACCACCAGGGTGGGATAGGAGGCGGAGGGAACGGCAAATTCCTCGTCCATTTGCCTTTGCACGGCAGCGTGCCAAGTAGCCAGGTTTTGATGGGCGTGTGGAGAGGGAGTACACGCGGCACATGGGACTAGCACTCTGACAAGCAGCGACAAGCAGCGGCAATGAACTCGATGGCCCGAACAGCCGCCAAAGAGCAACAACATGCAACTCATACGAACAAGCATGTATGACAGATGCGCGACGCTGGTGCCTAGGCTCCCCCGGGATACGCTCCTGCTCTCTCCCCCTGTATCCAGTTTCTTGGCACACCTTCCCCCACCTCTCACTGCATCTCATCGCCCCCATCCCAAACGCACAGATAGAAGAACGCATTTGCCTTCATGATTATGTGGAGCAGGTCGCGGAACTGCGCACTGCCACGCACCTCCTCAGAGGCGCGCTGGATGACGGCGCAGCGCTTCAGGATGTTGCTGCAGGGCACGGGGAGCAGCGGACGCGGAAAATTGTGCGGAAGGGAGCCGAGAGGGATCATGGGAGGTCCGTGAGGAGCGGAGGATGGGGACAGGGGGGCGAATTGGTGGAGTAGGATGGAGGAGCAGCAAGAGAAGTCTGAGGAGGAAGTGAACCAAGAGAGGAACAGAAGGGAATAGGAGCTGGGAGAAGATGGAGGATGGTTTGGCAATCCCTGCGGGCACAAAGTGTCGCACAAGGCGCGCTGCCCGGCCCCCCAGCCAATCAGACTTCCCTCTCAGAGCTGTCGCCGTGGACCGCGTCCGCGGCCCAAGCCTCGCAGACGGCCTCGGCGTCCGCGTCCCCGTCGGCAGCCACCAGGCCCTTCCAAGCCACTGCCAGGGAGTGAGACTGGTGGGGCGGCCGATGGCTGCAGCTATGACTCGTGCCCTCGGGGCACGCCCACCCGCGAGATTGGCTCGGCGGGAGGCAGTGCCGTGGGCCGAGGCGGTGATGCATCCGTGGCAATTGCCCGTCAAGCCCCTGACGCGCATATCGGTGTGGCTGTCGCACCGTGCGCACCAGATGTAGCTCCCAGTTTGCCACAGTAGAGGGCAAACACCCACCCCCACCCCGACAAGCGAGGCCGTTTAGTAAACGCACTCGAAAAAAGGAATCGAACAGGGCAGGGCTGTTTGGTAAACGCCCAAGGCCGTTCAGTAAACGCAAATGATCGGGTTCGGGTGGTTTTCCCTCCCTTGACACAGCCTTTGGCCCTTCACCGCCACGTACGGGGCGAGGTCGTCGATCATCAGGCGCGCATGGCCTGTACAAGGCTCCCGGTCAAGGGCCGCTTTTCGACGCAGCGCATTGCTGACCGAAGGGCTTCGCCTCCCACTGATGGCGGCGGCGCCCTTGAGGAGCCTCTGGCCGCCGACCAGGTGCCTTCGGCTCCACCTTCGGAGGAGGGGCCACATCAGGCCAACCGGCACGCCCAGCAAAAACGGTTTCGGCGAGGCCCGCGATGTGATGCAAAGCTCCAGCGATCCGCGCCGCCTGCTCGGACACCGCCTGGTCGACGTACTGCAGGAGCGACGCCGATCGTGACCCCCATCCTTGGCCCATGTGTCATCACGCCCGTTCGCAATCAGAATGCGCTGCGTGGCGGGATCCGCCTCAGAAGCCCTTGCCTAGGGAGGAGCAGGAGGAGAAGGGAGGAGGAGGAGGAGGAGGAGGAGGAGGAGGAGGAGGAGGAGGTGGTGGTGGTGGTGGGGGCCACGGTTCGATGTCTGACACCACATATATCCCCTAGGAAGAATCGAGCTACTGCAACTTTGGGCGCCGTCACCCCCGCCGCCCGCAGGAGCCGCGCCACCTGGTGCTGGAAGCGGCCACGTTCCAGCAGGGGCTCCCCTTAGCAGCCTCGCAGCCCCAACAGAGCCAGCACTGCCTCGGGAACGACCTCACACCTGAACCCCAAAAGCTGGAAGCACTGAAGGGGGTAAAACCTGGGGGACGGGCGGGCTAACCTCTGTGGGCCACGCCCGTTCGTCTCGCTCTGCCAGCCGCTCTGGATCTCGACATGAGACCCATGGGCTAGAAAAGGACAACTAACTGACGAGACGCCTCCCCTCCCTACCCCGCGCCCGCGCTCCATGGGCGATCCTCGGAGAGGAACTGAGCACCGCGCGTCGCCGATGTCCAGCAGAAGGGAGGGGAGGGGGGGGATGGGAAGGGGCTCTCTCTTGGGGGGGGGGGGGGAATTTCAAGTTTCAGGTATAGCGAGTTCCTGCCAAAAGGCAGCGCCGGCCGACTACTCGCTGCTACTACGTTCCGCCCCGTCGCTTTAGGAAAGATGTCACTGCTTGCTGCCACTCTTCCATTGGATGAAAGAATCAAGGTGTTCATGCCAAGACGATTTGCTTAGAGCCACTGCCTGCCACTCTGATCCTTTGAAGAAATTGCCGACGCTTCACTCCGAGCGCCAGACGTGGACCTTCCACCCGTGCATCCGGTTGCCCCCGTTGCGGCGAGCTCTGTCCCGGATCCACTTGCAACTCCTGTAATGCAGAACATAGATCGTGATCCGTTCAGAGTCGCAATCGCGTGTGAGGATTCAGTCAGGGGCTGCCTGACCTCGCTCTGTATGATCAGCTTGTTGAGCTTGCCCACCTCCTTACATAAGGCAATTTACTGTACAATCCACTCGCACCACAATCCGCGAATTCATCAGCCCAGCCGTTGAAGAAGAGGCCCGTGTGAGACTCCACCTTCCGCAATACTAGGCGCTGACCAAGCTCATCAACCAGGCGCCGAACATGCACGGCTAGCCTGATACTCTGGCGTGCTCTCGAAAGCCTGCGTGCACTGTTGGCCGCATTCTCCGAGACACATTCGATGCAATATGAAGCAAAATATGAGAAATAATAATACTAATCGTATGACGACGGAGTGCGGATATGGTCACGTTTTAAACACACAACAAAGAACACGGCACTCAACTCGCCTAGGTTATTCGTACGCCGGTAAGCACCAATGTAGCAAGGATCATATTCAGTAAGGATAGTGGGCCCGCTGAAATCCAACAGCGGAACCGCACCTGGCAAGGATACAATGAAACCCCAGCCTGATACCTCCTCGCCGTCCGCGCCCTTGGAGGAGCCGTCGCAAGACACAACAATCCCAGCAGGGCGTTGAAAAGCATCAGGGACTGGTTGAGCAGGTAGAATAACCTCGCGGTGAGCATGCCGTAGGGGTTGAGGTCCGAGCCCGGGCCTGATCCTCTTCAGCGGCGGAAATGCTGGCCGGTAGATCTCCTGCAGGGGCCGCGACCGTGGCAGCAACGGACTGGATGAGGGTGGGGCGCGTTCGGCCCTCAAAGGGTTTGACATGGAACCGCTCTTGTCCCGTCTCCCCTTCCTTCCTCTGTTCGTTCCTTCTTCTCCCCTCCTCTTCCTCCTCCTCCATGCTCCTCCGCTGTATCTGCATCCGCGTCTTGCCAGTGCCCTTCGTTTGAGGAGGATCCACGTGCGCGGATCCTTGCGAGGGGCGAACGAAGCACCCAGAACAACACAAGAAAAAACCCAACAACAATAAACAAACCAAATATCGGCAGCTGAAACACCCCCGAAAACAGTAGAAACAAAACCAAGTTTATGGCACTTGGTCAGGGGGTGGGTGGTGGGGGGCGCACAAAGTGTAGTTTAGTTAGGTTTGTTTTGTTTGGTATGTTTTTTCTTATGCTTTTTGGAAAGAAAAGTTTTCCAACAATCGACCTCAGTTGTGTTTGCTTCGTTTGGTTTTCCCTCGTTTTTTTTTGGGGGGGGGGGGAGGTCAGCCCCTCCGCCTCCCCCCAGGGAGGGAACGACGGGATAGAAATGAGCGGGGGGGAGGAGAAGGAGGAGGAGGAGGAGGAGGAGGCGGAGGAGGGGGGGAGGACAAGCTAGGTGCGCTCGCGTCATATCTGACATCCTACCCCTCCCTCCCATCCCTTACCATGGCGCAGATCCCCTCTCTACTCGCACAGTCGGATGTCGAGCAGGGCAATGATCCCGAAAGGGTACGCGATGCATTGTAGAGCACGGCGTGGCATGGCGTAGACGAGCACCGCGAAGCGTAGTATCAACCTAGCATTGCATTGCATGCCGTGGCATGGCACGGGAAATGACGCCAGCGCCGCAGCGGGAGCACGAGTCGAAACGAGCGGAAGCGCGGAAATGAGGCCAGCTCTGCAGCGGGAGCACGATTCGGAACGACGAGCGGAAGCACGCCAGAATCGGCACGGGAGGCTTCCCGGGCGCCGGAAGCAGAAATTGGGCATTTTCAAAAGAAAAATGCGTATTTGAATGACCTTTTTCCAGCGCCGCCTCGGAAGCCCATTTTCCGGCGCCGGCCGGAACCGACTCCGGACCCGGCCCGGGCGCCGGCCCGGGCGCCGGCTCGGGCGTCTGGCCCGGGCGCCGGCTCGGGCGCCAGCCCGGGCGTCGGAATCGGCCCGGGAGGCCCCCCGGGCGCCGGAAACAGAAATCCCACCAGCCCTTTGGGCGTGAGTGGTTTAGAGAGCCCGCTCTGTTCTCAACCCCCTTCTTCCCTTTCGGGGAAGGGTTTACCCCTCCCCCTACCCCCTCCCCCTGGGCCTGGAGAGGTCGTTTCGCGCGTCGTTGGAGGGGTCTTTTTCGACTCCTGGGAGGGCTAAAATTCGACACCCCTCACGAGGATTGTGGCCCCGACGGGGGAGGAGAAAAGTGCTCGCCCCATCTGTGATCGATCGCCCGAAAGATGGCCCAAGATACCTCCCAGACCCCTCCCAAAGAGCCCCAAGAGACCCCAAGAGGCCTCCAAGAGGCCCCCAAGATGCCCCCAAGAGGCCCCCAAGAGGCCCCAAGAGGCTCCCCCGAGGCACCCAAGACGCTCCTGGAAGCCCCTGGAGCCGCCAAGAGGCCCCCAAGACGCCCCAAACGGCCTCCAAGAGGCTCCCAAGAGGCCCGAAGAGGCTCCCCCAAGGCACCCAAGACGAGAAGCCCCTAGAGGCTTCCCACAGGCACCCAAGACGCTCCTAGAAGCCCCTGGGGCCGCCAAGAGGCCCCCAAGACGCCCCAAAAGGCCTCCAAGAGGCTCCCAAAAGACATCTACTACTACTACTACTACTACTACTACTACTACTACTACTACTACTACTACTACTACTACTACTACTACTACTACTACTACTACTACTACTACTACTACTACTACTACTACTACTACTACTACTACTACTACTACTACTACTACTACTACTACTACTACTACTACTACTACTACTACTACTACTACTACTACTACTACTACTACTACTACTACTACTACTACTACTACTACTACTACTACTACTACTACTACTACTACTACTACTACTACTACTACTACTACTACTACTACTACTAAACTACTACTACTACTACTACTACTACTACTACTACTACTACTACTACTACTACTACTACTACTACTACTACTACTACTACTACTACTACTACTACTA